TCTTGGGCATGCATGCACACGCGCCCGGCGTGGGTTTTAAGCCACCAGGTCCAGGACGCGAACCGCGGTCGACTATGTGGGAGTCCAGCAACATAGCCATTATGCTAACTGCTGGTTCCCAGGAGTGAGCCTCTTTTTATGGGCACCCTATGGTTCTATCATTCTTAATCTAAACTGACCATTTTATATTTCTTTGGGAAAGACACTTCCATGCCATGAGCCACCATCTGCACAGACTCTGCAGTGAGCTGAGTGGCTCTCCCACGGCCATTGAGGTGTATCACAGGAGTCCAGTCATTCTCATTCTTCTGAGTTATTTTGAAAAAAAAATTTTTGTACATTTTGGCTGCAGTAGAATACTATATATAGTATATATGTAATAACACAATATATTATAGTATATATATAACATAGGTAGAATATACTATAATATGGATCATCTCTACTTCTGTATTTATTTATTTATTACTAGACCTCAACTACAGTCTTCTTCCCCCCTCCACCTCTCTTTGCCTGTAGGATATACTATATGTAGTCATGTACTTTGTATTAATATATTAGAAATCTACAAATCTGGTGTGTACTTTTTATACTATTGGATACTTATAATAAAAAATTTTACTAGGGTATTGAATAAATTTAGTCTTATTAAAAAATAAAAAAATACTGATATGGAATGTAAATTAAAAAACAAAAATACTAAAAAAGTAAAATAACAAAAAAGAGCATTTAAAATTGAAAAAAAAAATACTGATATGGAACAATCTCCAAGAAATTGTATTAAGTAAAGAAAGCAAGAGGCAAAACAGGGAAAGAAGCCCTAGACTAGGGATAAGAGAGAGATTTCTCATTGCTTTTGTATCTCTGTTTTTAGTTTAGTTCTTCCATGACAGAGGAAGTGACTGAGACAGGCACTCCCAGAAGGGTCTTCAAGTCACTATCCACTGCCAGTCTCAACTGGCCTAGATCACAGGCACATGCATTCAACATGCTCAAAGAAGTCCTGGGCTGTGAACAAAGACCCTTCCCATGTGGGCCTAGTTGTGTTACCACTGTGACACTGCCTGGTCCCTGTATTTTCTGAATTTTGTGTTTATGAATGTTTTACATAGTCCCTCACTGCCACCAGAAGGGGAAAAAAGGATAATTTTAAAAATAAAAATGTTTTTAAGGACTTTGCTAAGATACATGCTTGTGCAACCCAGAAAGCTTGTGCTTTAGGATGGCCTGCACTATGGAACCACTGGCAAAGAAAATCTTTAAAAGCATTTTAGTAGCTAAACTTATGGGCATTTTGAGAGCATATTTTTGTATTAATGAGATGAACATAAACCAAGATTTCAGGCAAACAATGAGCAAGAAATTCCCTTTCATCTTAGAAGTTTATTACAAATCCAACAAACCATCTGGAATGTATGGAATCAGAGAATGAGATCAAGAAAAATGGTTGAACCGCAAAATCTAGGACTAGTCCTCACGTTCAGCCTCCCATCTAACCTGTTTGAGACCTGTGGGAGAACAAAGATGTGCCTTTCACACTGCAAACTCTTGGTGGCCCCACAACACATTCTACTGAGTACCAGGAACTTCTGCTCTGGCGTGGCTTGAGTTTCCCACCCACAATGCAAGCCCACGACTTGTTTGTTGCCTTTGTCTTTCTTCTATATTTACTGCGAAATATTAACATTTTACAAATAAAAAACTAATGAAGGAAAAGTGGAAAATGTTTTAAATATTTTTAAATCATTGTAAAAGAATGCATATTTACAGACTGGAAAATGTTTACGATAAACTGCAAAGAGAAAAGAACAGATTATAGGGACAAGCAGTTAGCGTAATGGCTATGTTGCTGGACTCCCATGTAGTCGACTGCGGTTTGTGTCCCAGACCCAGTGGCTTAAACTCACACTGGGTGTGTGTGCGTGCACGCCCAAGATCCGAAGAAGAAGGGATCGCGGCGTGGCCATCCCCCCTGGGGGGTGGTTTCTAGCTTTCTGTCTCTCTGTCTCGCTCTGTCTGCCTGGCAAGCACACACACCCTATAGCAAAAACCTCTTCAAAAAAATAATAAAAAAAGATTATAAAACAGAAATGTAAGTATAATCCACATCTAATAACCACATATGTATAGAGAAAAAAAGACTGGTATGGTGTAATCAAAAGCTTTAACAATAATTATCTTTGGGTAGTGAATTTATCAGTCATATTTATTTTCCTTGCTGAGCTTCTGCCTATTTTCTACATTTTTTTGTTTTGGAAATGTATTGCTTTTGTACCTAAAAAAAACTTAGCTTTATGAGGATGTTACACACAGCAATTAAAAAAAGATATAACAAAATAAACACATACAACATAAATAAATCTCACAGATATAATTTTGAATAAAACAAAGCACACAAAAAAGAGTGCTTGTTGTATGATTCCATTTATAGCATGTGTAAGCACAAGCAAAGTTTAACTGTGTTGATAGAGACCAGATAAGTGAGTACCTAGGTTAGAGGGAATAGTTATGATAGGAAAAAAAGGATTGATAGTCTTCCGGAGTGATAGGATTACACTATGTCTTAATCTGGGGTGGTTAAACGAGAATGTTCATATGTACAAGTTCTTGAGTTATATATTCAAGCTTTGGCCACTTTCACTATATTATATCTCAATTTTTAAAAAATTACATCTATTGGAGCCAGCAGGTGGATGGTGGTTAAGGCACTGGACACTCCCGCATGGCTGACCACAGTTTGAATCCCGGACCTGGTGACTTGCTTTCTCACTTTCTCTCTCTCTCTCTCTCTCTCTCTCTCTCTCTCTCTCTCTCTCTCTCTCTCTCTCTCTCTCTCTCTCTCTCGCTCTCTCTCTCTTTCTCTAGTAAAATTAAAATAAATGAATGAATAAATAAAATTAAATAAGTAATTTGTTTTAAAAATATTATCTATTATAGAAGGATATATTTCTGCACATATATACACAAAGATATTTATTATAGTTATGCATGCCATATCTTGAGAGAAAAATAAAATGAGTATTTCAGAAAATATGCAATGGTAAAAAGATTGGACTGTTGGTGCTGGCAGGTGGCATAATAGTTATGGTGCTGGACTCCCATATGGTACACCATGGTTCAAATTGCAGACCTGGAGGCTTGCTTTCTCATTTTTCCTTTCCTTCTCTCTCTCTCTCTTTCTCTCTCTCTCTGTTTCCTGTGGTAAATTAAAAAATAAGTAACAACAAATAAAATTTTAAAAACTGTGGGGACACGTTTAAGAGAGAAAATCTGAGGTGTGGGGACATGCTCTGAGCAAACACCACCTGTCCTTCTGGGATTTGGCAGAACCTTGTAACTTGTCCTTTCCTTGACCCTCGCTGCAGACAGAGCAAGGGTGGAAATTACTAGGGGCGTTCCAACAGACACATCTGATGGACTTCAAGAAACATATTGACAACAATTAGCAGAGTCCAATCCCTGCTCTGCATCTGAAAGGTTCTTTAGCCTTCTCTGGGTGTGGTGGTGCACTCTTTTTTGAGAAGTTCTTTAGCTTCACCCCCACACCTAACAGCTAGGTTTCTCTGTATTAAAAAAGAAGATGAGACTTTCTCTTGATGGGATTATCACAGAGGGATACACCTGGCCCAGTATGACTAAGCCCTTATAGATTTGTTAACTGCTTCTTATTGTCTGTAACCTGGCAACCAATCTATGAAGTGTCATGAAACATACATGTGTAATGTCTCCTTGTACTATAAATAAAGAGGCCCAGTTTGTCTGGGTGACCCAAGCAGCTCAAGGGGCTCAAGCAGCTCAAGCAGCGGCTCCAGTGCGGCACAAGTTGGGCTACCTAGGTTCAGGCTGCCTGTGTCCATTTCTACTCTATGTCTTTGTCTCATTTTTTCCAATTCCTAGGTCCTGGCAAGATGGAGGGCTTTCTCTTTCTTGTCCTCTTTCTCTTCCTCACCCAGCAACCCCCTGATCATGATTTAGCTAGACCCAAGCCCTGGGGCGGACGCCGACAGATAAAAAATTATTTTTATAAAAGATTGGACTGTGAAATCTGATAAACCTAGCTTTGTATTCCAACTCTACCATTGTACACTTACATATGCAGGGTCTGCAAGTCCTTTTATTTTACTGGCTAAAATTACCCAAAAACAAAAAAATTACACTAATAGCCAGAAGGATACAATTTCTGAAACAGAGCAAGAACCCCCTAATAAATTTTCTAGGGTTCCTGAAATATAAAGCCCATTTGCATTGTAATGGCCCAGAGTAAGGAGTAAGCCTTCAGACCTTGGTTATGATAATGACCATCATGGACCATGAGTGAGGGCCATTTGACCTCTAAAATTCTCACTTAAAGGAAAGAAAGTTTTCATTTCAATATGTAAGGTGTTTTGTAGACTGGAAACTGCTGGTTGTGAGCTCAGAGACTCCAGGCTGAATGGTTCCAGACACCTGAAGAGGAATTTGATTTTCTAAGGCCTCACCAATCAAGAATGCCCACGAGCTGATCATGCCCTCTTGAACCAATCACTGAACTGATCATGCGCCTGGGACCTCTACCCCTAATTTTGCCCTTAAAAACGCATGTGGGGACCATCTTGGGGAGACTGGTTTTTTTCAGCATGAGCTGCCTGCTCTCCTTGCTTTGTGCTTTGCAATAAAGCTGTACTTTCCTTCATCACACCATGTGCCTATGGCTTGGTTTTATAGCACTTGGGCAAGCGAACCTGATTTGAGTTCGGTAACATTTCCATGAAAAAAATAAAGCAAACTTTAGACCAAAGAAGTTTTAAATATGCATACTGGGGTTTGCACAAAACATTTTGTGAAGTATCTAATGAAAATTTCAGAAATCCCAACAGCAAAAAAATATATTTTCATATTCAGAATTAATATTCAAAATCATCACTTAAAATTGCTAATAGAAAACTGGAAAATGCATCAGAAAACTAGCATATAGATTTGCAAAAGCAAATTGTCTTCCTTTTTGAGTGAGATCAATCATTAACTATGCAGTGAACAATATCATATTCTTATTTATAAAATTACTAAATGCTGAAACATGATCTAAGATTATTCTACTTTGGCAAAAAGGAAAAAAATAGTATTAATTCATCTTCATAGAGAATTAGTTACAGTTGCACATCTGTCCTAGGGAACTAGAAACTTATAGTAGATCAACAGATAAAGCAGACAACATGCTGAAGAAAATTTGAAAATTATAAATAAACATAGCACAAGTTTAATATCTGAATTACAGATTAAAATGCTAACAAAAATACTCAAAGGAGTATCTTGCAAAAGAATGCCCACTGGTAAATGATGAAATTTTAGAAAAACTAAGATATTTTAGTAATAATTAGAAATTCCAGGAAACAAGACAAAGATATTCCCATATTCAAAGTTTAAAATACAGGTTGTTTGCAATATAAATAACTTTTCCTCACTAAACACAAACAGTTTAATTTTATGAGATAATGAAGTCTAGGAACACATATGAAATAGAAATATACAAATCTATCAGTCAATAATTTTAATTTTTTATTTTTTAGTTTGCTATAGGGCACATTCATTCACCAGAGGGAGAGAGAAATCACTCCTCCAGGAGGGATGACCACAACCACAATCCTTTCTCCTACATTCTCCTCTTGGGATTTAGAGCACGCATGTACACACATCCAGTGTGGTTTTCAAGCCTCTGGGTCTAGGACTTGAACAGTGCAGTCAGCCATGTGGGATCTCAGCTGCCTTAATCTCCACACTACCTGCTGGCCCAGTCAACAATTTTAGTAATAGTCAAAACATATATCCTACTTTCTATTTGCCAGGCACGTCTTTAAATGTTTTTCATGTGTCTTTTTTTCAGGACATTTTTAAATTTGTCTTAAAGTCATCGAAGCAAAAATCATGATAAAACATTCTGCTTTCCTTCACAATTGCCCAACGCAAAAAAAAAAAAAAAAAAAAAAAAAAAAAAAAAAAAAACCTAACAAAAAGAACAAAAAACTATTTGTAGGAAAAAAATGGTTTTGTACATGGGATGAAATGAAACAATATAAATTCAAAACTTACAGATAAGGGTTAGTTCTATCGCTCATCTCTTTAAAAAGTTTATATGAATATCCAGTCAAAACCAACAAGAGTATCTCCCTTGAAAGGTTATTTCTATGGCTTTCCAAGTAGACCACAGGACTGCACTCTCTCTTGGAATGTCCTCAGAAGGCTCTTTCAGTGATCATGTAATGGAGTAAGAGTCCTTTCTTTCAAATGGAAGAGGGAAGACAGTGGGACAGAGAAACTATTCAAACTTCATCTTCTTTCCTTGTGGCTTGTGGTCTCCTCTTTCTCCTCTGCCTCCTCGGAAGTCACTTCGCCCTCCAAAGCCTCCTTGGCCTCCTTTGCCTCCACCTCGGCCTCCAAAGCCTCCTTTGCCTCCAC